GATTCTCAATTTTATGGAAACTACAAGAATCCAGAGCGTAGGGTAAGGGTTCCTAACTGTATGTTTGCCCTCGCTGGTGTTGGTAACTGAAAGAATTTGCTCTCCTGTTAATGTTTTTTACAGGAAGAAATTAGGACTTCTGTGTTAAAGGAGTTTATTCCTCAACAAATTCAATACCTGGACAACATTCTCCAAAAGAACAAAGGTGGTAAAGGGTATTTTGTAGGAGAAAAGGTATGTTGGATGAACTAAAATTACAATATATCCTTGTCCAGTAGTGTTCATAGCTTACAAACTGCATTCAGCAAGGAAAAGTGTCTTCTAAAGGAAAGCTATTTCTCTTTCATCATGACATGAAAAGTGCACAAAGCTACCATACCATGGTATGATACAAGTAACACGTCATTTCAACAGCTTTGAACTATAATTATAATCTATCTTTTTCAGATAACCTATGCTGACATTGCTGTTTTTTGTTTTCTCAATGGCTACCTTGCTGGTGGTGCTCTAGAGGCTCCAAACGAAATCAAAAACTATCCACTCCTGGTTGACTTCTACAATCGAGTGATGAATGAACCTAATATCTTGGAATATCTCAAGAAAAGAAAACCTAACCCTGATGATTACCCATACTAAAGTATATTTTGAACGTATTAAACGACCAGATTGTATCAATTAACCAGCTTTTGGCAGACTCCTCACAGTGCATTTCCAGTGTTTTCTCATTAATCCTCTGTGCACCAGGAATGTGCTGCATGGAGTCTATCCTTCTATACATTGAAGTTGATATTTCATAGTTACAGTCACTTACTCTATGGCTTTCTTGTAAATCTCAATAGCTGATTCCAAGTCCCCCTCCATCAGGTAGATTCTTCCCAGCTGAATGAAGGAAGCGTCATGACGATGGTATTGGATGGCATGTTTAAGGCAGTCTTTAGCCTGTGGCAAAGTGATTTTGAACAAACAAGAGTTAGCTCTCAACAAACCTTAGCACTAGTCTTTTTCACAGTTCCCCTATGCCATCTTGAAATGTAGCCATCTCTTTGCATCAAAGCGTACAATGATAGACACCTATCAATATTTTATTGTCTGTGGGTGTGAACAAAGGTCTTCTCATGTTGATGTATTGATACGGCTGATTTCTAGATGGCAGGGGGAACTGGGAAGGAGACTATATTATATTTTCAAACGAAGGCTGAGATTAGTTTCCACATCATTCTCTGATACAGTGAATGGTCAAATATTAATATTAACAGAAGAATATCAAGAGTTATTTCTCAACAGATATACTGTAGTGTCTTTCTGCCCTATTCATAATTATTATAATAGTTCTTATAGTGATGTACACAAGTCCGTTGACATGTATGAAGCAATGTAAGGTTACCTCAGAATTTTAGAGTAAACACTTTGTTAAGCAATTGAGGATGTGACTCCTATATTTTTACATATATATTATAAACAGATATAGCTGAGAATGCTTACCTTCTCAAAGTCTTTGAGATACAAATAACAAACACCTAAAGATAAAAAATATTTAGTACAAATAAAAATTTATTATTTCTTGATTTGTTTGACTTTTTTTATTTCAATAAATGTTGATAATAAAATTATTGGCTTACCTTGATTGTGATATATTTCCTGTACAACAAAGATCAAAATAAGACAGTCATTCATAATTATTATTAAAAATAAGTTTGTGTGTAGTGTTAATACACACCCAATCTTTTGTACTGAGTTTTGCTGCTTCATTGTAGACTTCCAAAGCAGCCTTGTGTCTTGCTAAAAGAAATCTGTGAAGTTACATCACTGGTGTTACTTTATACAGTATGTACTATATAATGTAATGTTGTATACTATAATACTGTAAATGTACTAATTAAATGAATAGATAAATGAACTGTCATAAATGGATAGATAGCTGGACAATTGAATTGACTGATAATAGGATGAGTGAATGGTTGGATAAAAGTGAATGAGTGAGAAGGTGAATGAGTGGATGGGATGATGACTAAATGGAAGGATGAATGGGAGATAGATAACAGTAATGGGTAGATCAGGGTGAATGGATGGATCTATGAATGGATGGCTTTGGAAGGATTTATGGTTTCTGATTTACATTTGGACAGATCTAGAAAGCATATCTTTGATTTCAATACTCACAGTGATCTTGCTACTTGTTTCATGTTATCAGCATTGAAGGGACTTATCCTGACTGTCTGCTGAAACAACTCCAATGAATCTTGGATTTTTCCCTCTTGACGAAAAATCAAAGCTATGAAAATACAACAAATTCTCACCTAAATATTTAAGTTTACAMGCTGAAATTAAAACCATACAACAGACCTTGAGCATAGAGGGCATACTCGCACATCCCTTGTGTCTCTTGAAGCTGGTCTTCAATAAGAGCCTAAAGCATAAAAGTATCCTTTCACTCACAATAGACTCTTTTCGATATTTTTTTGACATGCAAGTTTAATGACCAGTGAAAAGGAGGATTACACAACCTGTCATCTTACTCAGGATGTTTACCAAATCAAGATCACATTGACAAAGCTGAAGATCATACCTTGCATTTATCAAATTCCTTCCTCACATAGTGAAGGTGAATCAGCCAGTTTCGTCTTTCGTAAACCGGAAGCTCAGGAACTACAGTAGATTAGAAAAGAGAGTTTCATTGAGACAATATAGGATTCACAGTTTASCTAACAAAATGATTTAATCGATAATAAAATAAATATCTATGTAGTCTACATCCAATAATTAATGATATAACAATGAACCAAGTTGATCTCACTAACCTTTTCCTCTCCGTCTCGGAGGCTCGCTTTTCTTTGGTGGTGGTTGAGAAGAAGCAACACTTTCTGGGGGAGATTGAGACTGTTTCGATGATGGTGGAGGTGATCTTGTAGCAGTGCTCTCTGGACTTGCAGAGCTTCTGCCGTCAGAGCTTTCATTCGGTGATCTTGAAGACCGGTGACTTTGGGACTGCAGAGAACTCGTCGATGCCTGCATCTTCCRAGTTGTTGTTTGATTTTGAAGTTGGCACTCTCTGACAGAGGGTTGACTCAAAGGCGACCAAAATTGAACTTAAACTAGGATAGAGATCGCAATCTCTAAAACTATTCCACTTAAAGTTCCTTATAGACAATTTCCGTATAAATTTAATGGACAAATTGCACAACGAAGATCAAAACAGCTGTAAAAAGAAATCTTTCGTTGTCTATGAACGCCGCCATTTTGTTTCCCTGGACAACAAGACATTGCGGCACAGGGTTCCCAGTTACTAATTGATGTGAAATCAAAATGGACGTCAAGATGGTTGTTGCAGTGATGTTATTTGTGTTCTTCATCGTGAAATCACGGTTGATCACTAAATTACTGAACTTTATACGCTCTTCCACATATTACAAGATAATGTTTGCAAGAATGATGAAGAATGCTACAGAGAAATTTAAGAACAAACCTAACTCTCCATTATTCCATCTGAAGAAAGCACAGTTTGAAGAGATTGAAAAAAAGCTAGAAGAGCTTCCAGGAGATGTTTTAGAGATCGGTGCTGGTTCTGGTCCATCTCTAGACTTCTTGCGTCTTCCACAAGGTTGTTCTATGGTTGTTGTGGATTATAATCCTCATTTTGAGCAGCATTTTCGTGAAAAGTTGGCCAAACATCCAGATRTCAAACTCAAAGAGTACCTCGTCCAAAGTGCTGCAGACATGAGTAACATCCCAGATGATTCCTTTAGTGCCGTGTTTGTCACAGATGTACTGTGCTCCATCGATGAAAACTTGCTTAGAAATATGTTGAAAGAGGTCAAGAGAGTTTTGAAACCGGTATGTAATGAAGTGTATATTATATACTCTCCACAGCTGCTGTTGTGTGGTCTTTTTACGCATTGAATGTTATACCATTCCATTTTTAGTTTATTCACGTTTATATTTTTTTTGCAGAATGGTTGTTTCTATTTCTTGGAGCATGTTTTAGGTGACTATGTCATTTGATATTGATATGAAAATAAAATAAAATAATTAAATTATTAAATTTCAAATTATCAAATTTCATATTAATGTTGGTCATGGAATAATGTTTCAGATAACCCAGGAACTTTGAGACGAATTTTTCAAAAGCTGATTTGTTGGTTGAGTATTTGGCAGTGTATGGGAGATGGTTGTCGCTGCGATAAAGAAACATGGCKGTTCATCCAAGAAACRGGATTTAAAAGTGTGACAATGTCATACTCATATGTCCCTATGCCAAGGAAAAAATTTGAGTCATTTGATAAAATGTTTTTTTACATTTTAATATATTTCATAAGATATTTCTTACGTGGACATGCCAGGAAATAAATATGATGCCAATTGCAAGTTAGACTATATAGGTCTATATGTTCAATGATGACTTGAATTCTTTGAATTCTTCCTTCTATGATAAATGATAATTTATAGTAAATAACATAGCCTGCACAGTAATGCCAAGCCCTGTTTTGGGACCCACATTCTTACAAAGAGGGCCAGGTGACACATGRAAGCTAGAATCAACAGGGACTTATCAGTGTTTCCTATCAATATTCTATCCAATATAATTTTTGTAAATGTGCCTCCTGTACCTCAATGATTTTAATCATGATTAACCTTGTTACATTTTATTTTATTATTTTTATTCAATGCCTAGCTGTATGCAATATGCCAATTAGTTCTAAGAAAGTGTGCATACTTTATACTTGAAACAAATACAGTCAATCCTATTAGTGTTGTTCAGTTGTAAGGAGGTTGACATTTTAATTTTTAAGGGGGAGGGGGGAAGGTGATAATTTGGTCACTGCATTTATTTTTAAAATCGTSCACTCCCTCCCTCAAAAGTCTATTGGGCAGCCCTAAAGAAAACATCACAGTCCTGATTTGCATAAAATTTTACGACTTTGTTGTCGTCTCACGTCTTTTACAACTGAACAATGTCTGCAGATTTACTACTATTAATTAATAATTGTTACAAAAACCCAATACAAAACCCCGTAAATTTATCTACCTTTTCTTCCAATCAGTTCCCAATTTTTTAGTTATAGTTAAAAAAACTTTATTATTGTAACGGTATTCTAACGTAACGTGACATATTTTTCTTGAAACTTGAAACACAAGTTACCTGGCCGGGGGGCAGATTCATTCGACCGTCACTGATATGCAGAGCTGACCTGAAATCTTGTCATGTAATCAACATGGAGGTTAAGGTGCTCGTTGCAGTGTCTGTAGTCGCACTTTTTATCGTGAAAACTTTGATAACTAAATTACTGGATATGATGTGCTCTTCCACGTATTACAARAGATATTTTGCAAAATTGGTCAACGATATGACAGAGAATAATACCGCCCCTCACGCACCTTTACTTTCCCGTAAGAAAAAGCAGTTTGCAGAAATTGAGAAACAGCTAGAAGAGCTTCCAGGAGATATTTTAGAGATCGGTGCTGGTTCTGGCGCGTCCTTAAACTTATTGCGTCTTCCACAAGGCTGTTCTATGGTTGTTGTGGATTATAATCCTCATTTTGAGCAGCATTTTCGTAAAAAGTTGGCCAAACATCCAGACATCAAACTCAAARAGTACCTCGTCCAAAGTGCTGCAGACATGAGCAACATCCCAGATGATTCCTTTAGTACCGTGTTTGTCACAGATGTACTATGTTCCATGGGGGAAGGAACGCTTAGAGCGATGTTGAAAGAGATCAAGAGAGTTTTGAAACCGGTAGGTTCATTGAGCTTATATATATCCAGGGTCTGATGCTATTTTCACATCATTCATAGACATATTTTATTTATTAAAACAGACAGATTTTTAAATATTYAAGTAGGTGTTTTCGTATTGTATTATTCTACTCATAATTCTTGATTATTTCTCTATTCATTTGCTTTGCCAACACCCTAATCAAGAATGTTTTTCGTGATGCGTGTGACAATCATTTGTGAGATCAATTCAGTTCTCAGCTTTATCCACAAACTGATCTACCAATCAGAGTGCGCGTAATTTTGGACCGCATGGTGGAGATACTGTACTATAATTTTATTATCGTAATTTGCCTTTGTCTTGTTTATTTTTTTCAGGATGGCTGCTTTTTTTTCATGGAGCATGTCCTGGGTGAGTGCATGTTTTTATTAGTATCATTTAAGGCCCGTTTACACTTGCGATTTTTACAGCGCRATTGTTTAAACGGGACTTAAGACTTCATTTGCATGAGAAGTAGTCTCCTCGCAGCCKTGTTTAGTTTCGGTCACGCGTGACACGAAACTAAACAGACTARATGAGAAGCTATTCACAGGYATTTTGGGATTTGGGAGATTTTAAATTTTCATTTATCCTTGATTCCAGYGTTCATTGTTAATTTTTTACTTCTACTTTGCGTTTTCATGCCCATCTTTGCAACAGACTTTGGTGTTTTTTTAGGAGTATATATATTTTTAACAATGCCACCCGTTAAAACATATATASATYGGRTCAGTCTCTCTCATTGATGTTTGTTTYCCACACCTAAYGGCCTACCMTTTTKCAGAAGAACCTGGGAATTACAGGAGATATTTTCAGAAGTTGATATGCTGGTTAAACATTTGGCCAAGACTTTTTGATGGTTGCCACTGCAACAGAGAAACTGGGAAGTTCATCCAAGAAGCAGGATTTAAAAGTGTTACCCTGTCATACACGTATGCTCCCCGGCCAAAGAAAAACCACATTTTTGATCAAATGGAATTGTCATTTTTCCTGTTCTTTGCAGGATATTTTTTGCTAGGACATGCAAGAAAATAAAGAGTAAGAAAACACTAAATACCAAAAGATAGCAAACTTCCAAAGTTTCTTGCCTTTTAATGCACTCTGTTAGCTACATAGTTTTGATGGAATTCATTCCTGGTCATTTTTTATTGAAGCCATCAGAGTAGGATGCTTAAAGTTTGCCAACAATTTGTTGTGTAAGCAATATACACACTGAAAATCCAATGTACATTACATAATATATTATCTTGATTTACTTTGACAATATTTTAGAAATAAAAGAAAAGATTAATTTATGTAAACACTACCGATGCTCCATAATTAGCCAATCAGTAAGGTATCCTGGTTACCTCCCCCTGTACTTCTATTGTCAGATGTTTTATACTATAAGCTGCAGAGGCTGAGTAACAGGTGAATGCAGGGGGGCAGGGGGGCTATTGCACACAAACTCTTCTCAGTATATTAATTTGTCCTCCTTTGAAATCTTCTCCCTCCCTTTTTATCCACACTAAGACAGCTCCATGAAAACTCAAATATGGACAACAATAAAAAGTATCAAATGTCATCTTTTATTTCAACAATAACCTAGCATTTTTCATAACATTGTGGTTAATTACACAAGACAAAAATATTTGATATAATCATTCAAAAATTGGAATAGCATCTACATTTCTTTATGCATGACCACAAGGCTAGTTTGCTAGCTATATGATAGTTGTGCAAAAAGATAAATTTTAACAYCTTAAAAAAGGAGGTGAATGTTAATTCTTCGTTGTAGTAAAGGATCAATGTCCAAAACGCYAGTAAGTTGTTYCACCTACTTTTTTACAATGAYGATGTTTCTTTAGAAATACCAACTTATATACTAGTTCACTGCTAGTTTCCATCATTTTAGCTATATCATAATATATTAATGCACTACTGTTGACTGCAGACTACTGCAGGGCTATACTGTATGAATGTATACCATAAAAACTCTTTTCAGGGTTCCTAGTGGTATTTTTGAAAATCAGTTTTCAATTTCTCTAGTATTACTGTATCAAATAGAGCATAAAATTGCCCGTGAAATTGCACAATCCCTTCAAACTCTTTGTATTTACTAGAATATATATGAAAACACCTGGTTGTCCTTACCTAAACTAAACTATGAAAGTGTTGGAAATACATACCAGAGAAACATAAGGTAGTTCAGAATGACGCAATTGTAGAGGTATCAAAATATGATCCAATGCTTTAGTGATCAATGCGACTGAARAATTGTTCATAGGAAGCTTTAAACCCAGATGGTGTAACATCAAAATCTTCTAATTTATAGTCATCTATATCTATTAATTGATCTGAAAAGAAACACCATTATCAGCATCCGATTATAAATGATATGAATTGGCCATTTTGTGCATATTGTGAAATGACTTAAGYAGCCGATATTGACAGTCCTTGTAGTGGYATGTTCACAATCTGCGCAAGTTTGCACTAGAAACGTTTTTTCTTTTAAACCTTTYAGTTCACAYTTTCTGTGTCATTWTTGTTGCAGTAAAACACTTTTGAAAGATGATYAAAAACGATTATAGTACCTTGACATTGGGGGTCTAAACCTAGTTTTTGTAGAGCTATAACAGCATCAAATTCATGCTTTTGTCTGGTAAGAAGTTCAACCTAAAAAAAATGATTATAATGCCAATAAGCATTTGAACACTAATATATGAAAAAAATACAACATTGTGGGTTGTATGCAAGGAATTAATTAATAGATAATTCAAAGTTTGAAATTTGCACCTTTCTTTTTTCAAATTTTTGTAATAATTCTTCAACCTCTGCTTTCATGGATTGACACGTGATTTCATTGGTAGGGATGCTTGGTTTTGAATTCTACATGAACAAGAATGACAAGTGAGAATTTTACACAAGATGATGATTGTCTAATATGTATCCAACATTGTGAAATACACAGTCRCTCTTTCCTTTTTATCAAAGCCCTATATCATTCTTGTAATATCAATGTTTTGGAAATAGTCTCTTTCTTTGAGTRAAACATTAAAAGATGCCAATGTACTTGCATAGAAGCAAGACAACCAGCGATTGTGACACCTTTAACACCTATAGACACTTTTTGATTAATTCACAAGTACTATGTATCATTGCTAGTTGTCTTCAATCCCTGGAGAGTATTTGCACAAAATCTAAGCTGCCCTCACCCTTCAGAGTATAATACTGTACCTGAACTGCTCTGCCATGCGACAGCATCTGGTGTTTGAGAATTGTRCATGCACTTATAGGAACCTCCTTCTTGACAGCTGATCTGGCRAACCTACCAAACAACCTAACTACTTCTTGYTCAAAACACAATTTCAGCTTTTCCTGTGAAATTCAACAGTAAATATCTTTAGCAAATACAGAATACTTTGGTGTATGGGAAAGAAGGGTTTTATACAAGACTTATTGGTGAAATTGTTGAGGGATAGGGAGGGGAGGGAGGAGGATCTTACTTGTTCAATCTTGTGTTGCATTTTTAGCCTGGAGAGTTCATTATTTCCCTTCAGGCTGCCATCAGAGTTTTTCTCAGGAATCTATGCAAAGAATAAATGATAGTTTAACATCATACCTACCACATAATAGCAAATTCACAGCATTAAAGCAGCATAATAAGTACATACATTAATTTGACTGTGTGTTGTGTAATTCCTACTCTTCATAGTAAACTTGTGATATCCTGGTACATATAGTGGAAGGTTTGCAGGGTTATGGTATTGCTTTGCCAAAGCTTTTCTCCATGTTGGATTCTTGATGTGTCCTACACATTCCTGACAAGACTTTGCATAGCTCTCACTAATAGCTTTACTGGAATCAGATTTAGCTTGAGTRCTCTGCGTCAGTGTCTTGCTGTGACATGATAAACTCTTAGAGACTGGTTGGTTTTCTTTATTAAACTGTGAATCCTGCAYTATAGTTTCCTTCTGTGCTGTTGATTTATCATTCTTCAACTGTGAAAGCCCTAAACCATTWATACAAGATGATGCACTACCATTGCTTGAGACTTGTAGATTTGTCTTCACCAAAGTYTCATCGTCACTTTTTGATTTACTAACCGGCATTGCAGTCACTTGTGAGTTGTATTTACTGGTTGGAAATTCATTATCGTAATCAAAGCAATCTTTCTTTGGATCTAAATAAGATGACATCTGTACCATGGCTTTGTCTAGACACTCATTCAAGCGTGCAGGATCAATATTATCATCAATTTCACTGTGAAGACTTGTGCTAGATGAGCTCCTACGTGAATATGGTGAGTTCTGTCGTGGCAAGTCTTTTATGACAGATGTGCTAGATGTATCTTGATAAACAGGATCTATAGTTTGTGATGGTCTAAAGTAACTTTCTTCTGATGACGTATGAGATGAATAACCATTGGTTTCATTGTCAAGATTACTTTCTAAATATACAGGATTGTGTTCTCTTTTGATAATAGAAGGGATACTTTTCTGTAGAGGTTTTACACTCTGAAGTATTTCTAAGATAGTTGCTGATCTAGCAAGRTCTATAGCTGTAAAACCTTGCATTGTTCTCTGCTCTGGGTCAGCACCATACTTTAAAAGTAGCTCTACGACCTAAACAGGAAATCACAACAATRTCTGTAATAAAATGTTATATTTTGTATTTATATTATTCCAGATTATTTTAATAAGTATAGATTTTATATTCTACTTCCTTGATAGTTGTTATAATATTCTTGTTTGCAGGGGCCAATCCAGAAGTTGTAGAATCAAGGTWGSATGAAAAAGTTAATGACTTTCCTTACCCAGTGACCTCAAACAAAGCCTTGAAATGAGACATCAAGGAGCACTGTGCACAGGTCTATTTTTTAAGCCACGGCTACACGAGMRATTTTTTCGCTTGTGCAGGCAATGCGATTTCCGGGTATGATGAAAGCTAAACATTGATTTTCAGCTGTTTTTGTACATGTACCACTTTATGGAGATTCAAATAAGTATTTATGAGGATTTTTTAGCAATAGAGCATTGTCGCTTGTGTAGCCACATCGTGCTCTGGTGATTTTGAGAAAATCTCGTCACCTGTGCAAGCGAAAAATCGCTCAATATGTAGCCACAGCTTTATGTTCACTGCACCTTGGTTTCTGGCTTAATACTAWKCTCATGKTCACTGAACCAAAGTATGGAATATTGTGAATAGGGACACTTCATCTCTATAACCATCCTGTTCTTAATGCTTTTAAATCAAGGTCAATCTGAACCTACCTGAACATGATTGTTGATGACTGCATCATGAAGAGGGCTAATGTCTTCATATCCAGGTGAGTTTACATTGCCACCACCCTTGATTAGTTCCTCAACAATTTGTAAATGTCCAAAATTACATGCTTCATGAAGTGGAGTCCACCCTGAAAGATGAAATAATAATGAAGAAAATAATTAATCAATAAGCCAATCAAGCAATCCACCAACCAACCAATCATTTCATATATTAAATGAATAATCTTTCAATTACAGTAATCAACCATTTAACCCATGGGASCGATTAATCAAGGTACCAACCAACAGCTCCATCATCTAAAAAGCTTCTTATACAATAAATGAGTAACWCTCTCATCACCAACCATCATCAGTTTTTCTGTTAAGGCTGTAAAGAGCCCACAAAGGATTAAGTGAAAGCAGGAATATGATGTTTTACACATACCTGCATAATCTTTAGCATTAACAACTATACCAGCTTTGATTAAATCTATAGTATCATCAACATCTCCTTTAATAGCAGCAACATGTAAAAGAGTTTCCCCTCGCTCATTCCTCTTGTTGATTCTAACTGTATTGCTTTCTTTCTTTGTGATATCTTTCTTTTTTAACTTGGTAAATGCTTGACCTTGGCCTTGTCCTTCATCACTGTCCGTCTCTTGTTGGTCTTTAGGTTGGGCATCTTTAGCTGTGACCTGGAATTATTAATATAAAAATCATTAAATAATACTTATATAAACAAAAGATGGAATTTCTTTGCCAAACTATTGAGAAACCTTAAAAATTTTCTAGCAAAATCTAAGCAATACTATCTTTGGATAATTCGTCACTTTATCACAACTTGTAATCATCTTTGCTTGTAATTATTTAAACTAAAGTAGTCTCTAACCTCCAGCAGATATTGTAGTTGTTGTCTTTCTGTAAGTGGGTAACTAGGCCATGGTGMKTCTTTACTGATGGGAGAAGCTGCCACTGGTGATGGTGTGRTCTTCTTTGAACTCTTTAATGAAGGACTTGGTAACTTTTTCACTAGTCAGAGATCATTATATTTTTTATTTCATAATCAAACACAACTCCTATTTTTCACTTATAAAATATATTATTATAACACCAGTTTTACCTTTAGCTGGAGTTCCAGAATTCAAGAATAACTTTCTTTTTGATACAGTCCGACTTCCCTTCTTTTTGACTACAGAATCCTATATTGCAAAGAAAGATGGATGAATAGGAGTAAAAAATGAATAAATTAACAGAAAATAAATGAAAAAGAAAAAAAAAAGATTAGAATGAAAGGAAGATATAGTGAAAGAAAAATTGGAAGAGATGAAAACTAAGAAGATATGAAAAAATGCATAGGTCACAGTCTACTAGCCTTGAGTGGCTGTTCAGTTTCCATCAAACCATCTTCAGGTGTAGTATAGAGAGACTCCATGTCATGACWGTGGATTTGTTTTCCATTKGCTGGTGTGATGGGAGAATCAAGATTRGTTGCTCCTAGTGTAGATACCATTGTGGCTAAGAGATGGATAGAGTCCTAAAGAAACCATAATCAATGTTTTATGGAGTTAATTCCTAGTTTTGCTTGATCAGCAGACATGAAACAATGCTTGTTGTGTCCTAGGTGTAAAGCATCATATGAATTGAATTAATTTTCAATGTTTTATTTAAGTGAAATATAACACTATAGATAACTGAATGAACAGAATCTTTTACTTTCATTTACTAAAAATCTGAATAAAATATTCTATTAACAGAAAAATCCTTTAAATTTGAATTGAATAAAATCATGTTTTGAAGCAAAGATATACCTATAATGTTTTAGCACTACTTAATTCTAACAGATCATAATTGAAATAACAAAACATGTTCTTAAATATAAAAATAGTATCCTATCAAATATGGGATAAAAAAATCTCCTCTAGTGAGTAAGAAAAAGACAAAGAAATTCATAGACTGGAATAAGAGAAAGAAAATAAGATTAACAAATACCATAATTGTAGACTGTTCTATGATRCATGGACTCATGAAATACAAATACATGATTTAATTTGAAGTTTCAGGAGCAACAAGTCAATTTATGTGCATTTTAATTTGTTGCTCTTTCAGTTTTATGAATACAACTTGAAACCATTGTCTTTGCAATGCTTTGACAGACACATTTGAGTTACTTGGTGATCTAACAATTATTTCACTGAAATTAACAGAATAAATTTAAAGGATTCCTACAAAATAATAAAATCAGGATTGAATTCTTTAAATAAGATTTATACAGCGTTGCAAATGTGCAAATAATTAGACAAAAAGCACAAAGACTCCTATGTTGGCATGACAACCGTGCTATTCTCGGCCACCCAATTTTTGAAAAGCAACACATTAATAAGAAAATTGGTTGTCCTCTGTGGCAAATTGTCAGGCAAATTAAACTAAGGCTTAAAAAATTGTTTATAATCCTTGATTATTCAATATTGGACAGAGATTCGCTTGGAGGCGTCTTGCTGAGATGCCTATTTTCAGCTAGAGCCTTTTGTTCATTTGATGTTCACAGCCCGAAACGAGAGTCAAAATCACCCCAAAATGTATAGAAAATGTTGTATTTATTAGCCCTATCTTTAGCKAATCAATATTATATAGTTTTCRCGTGTTTTGATTGAAATGACCGTGTAATGGACATGGCGTCATCGTGTACTTTTCAAGGCTTTGTTTTCATTAGGAGATCAAATTGTTGTAAATAGAACCACGAACAAAGAAAACAAGCCCTGAATCGTGTCTAGTTGTCTAGATTACTACTTGCTACTGTTCAAAGACTTACCTTGAAATCACTAGGMAGCGTCTGGAAGGAATGAGTTGTTGTGATCGATGTTCAGTCGCAAAGATCGACAGAGAAACTGAAACCTATAACGCCATGATGCTCAAGTTTCGGCAGGAATCCACTGATAATCTCGAATCTGTTGACAGACACTCACCCGAAAACCAGAATCAAAGTAATGGATTCCACATGAGAGAAATCACCTGAGGTCAATGCTGAAAGTAATTTTTTTTCTTGTTTGAGGACAATAGCCTTGCGCCTCTGGAGATTTAGAATCGTTCTTCCCGCCAAAACATTACTACATCCGGGAACTTGACGTTTTCTTACTGAAAAATCTGGAATGGAGCTCAATGGATCTACTGAACTCGGACATCTCATTCCAAAAAAATTGTTTCGTTTCGTTTTGAATATTATTAAAGAGACCATTACTAATTACTAATGGTCTCCTTATATCAATACTTAGTTAATTTTACCCAATAGTTTTGTGGAAAAAAGTCTCCTATCACATCAAATCATTCACTCTCTACTGCTCTACACGGTCTTAGTTTCGACATTGCTMATTTCTTAGAGTTTGAGCTGGAGTCCATATTCCAGCGATAACTTGCGTTCTCATGTCACTTTGAGTAGCATAACTAACATACATTTACACGTGAGCTTATGTCAGTGAACCTATACTCAGGTGGCAGAGTCCGAGTAAAATGATCGGTGACAACCACAGTCTTAATTTACGCTAAATGTCAGTGGAGTGCTGATCTCGTTGTGTAACGACTTCCGCTGGGATTCCCTTCCACCCTTCCCYTGCCAAGTTGCCCTTGCAGTAATTTTCAGACTAGTACCCAGTCGCTACTCTATTTTGTTTTACCTGAATTGTGCSTAAGGTATTAGGTACGTGTCTKGGTGTTGTCTGKGAGGCTTCATTGCACACSGGGCGCCGCCCACATCTGCAGACGAACAATACGATCAGCACCTTCGMCTGTTAAGTTAGCATTAGATTTGTTCTTTTTTTTTCTWGGCCAAATTAGCTTTAAAATGTCAGTTATTGCGGACAAGGAACAAGTTCGAAGCGAGTACGAGAATGTGCGAAATGACAGCTCGGATAAGAATTGGTGAGTACATGCAATAGAGTAAAACCATGAAAGACTAATTTCTCTTTATGAAAGTTTTTATCATGCCGTGCAACGGCACGGAGATTCGGTAGGCCCTGCCAACAGAGGCTGGTTTACGGTTTCGATCTCTCGGCCTCAAAAAACGGCGCTTGGCGCCGWAAACAAACTAAACGAGTAGATCCAGCCTCTGGAACCCAGGTTAGGTAAAATATCTCTTTGGGACATTGAGTAGAAAAAACATATTTTATGTCATATCATTTTTTTCATTTTTTTCATTTTTTTTTTCAAGTTTTAAGAAAATTGCCCATGATATACATCCATGTAAGGCAATTTTTTTAATGAGTGAATTTATACAAGCAAAACATTGGCTATGCATGGCAGCCTCAGTGTTTAGCCTGTTTAATGGAACACTGTCATTTGCTTGATGACGCGAATCTCTAGTGTTTTTATTTCAAGTACTCTTGCTGTGCTTAGACACCACGTCCCTCGCACCTAGAAAATGGCCATGCGAACGAGTGTTTTTTGGAATCAAAAAGGAAGTCGAATTGCAACTTTATAAAGGATTAAGAATACTTTTTTTTATAATTTGACAATTTATATTCATTTCGACTATCAGCATATGTTTTACTTTGTTTGTTTTTTGTTTTTAGACACAAGTTTGGATGTTGTATTTATTTTCTTCCTCTTTAAGCGATTTAGATATTTTCTTTTTTTTAGGGCAGCGTTTGGTTACTCTGGTAAACAAATAGTTTTCATAGCTTCGGGTGCAGACTACAACCAATTTTTGGGGCATTGTGCTGGTAAGTAATGTATATCACAGCGAACAAAACAATCTTCAAAGTTTTTGCGTTAATATTTCTTATTAATTGGATTCACTGGCAATACAAAGTTGGGATTCCTTTGTTGATGTTAAGTTGATTGCCTATAGATGACAAACGGGTGTATGGATATGTACGGTTTGAGACTGGTGACGAGATGAGTAAGCAAGCAAAGTTTGCGTTTATAACATGGATAGGCCCTGGTGTGTCACCGCTCAAGAAAGCTAAAGTTAGCACTGACAAGGCGTTTGTCAAGRAAATACTTTCGGTAAGTTTCCAACACTAAATCAGTGTGAAATACGACATTTATCATGAAAAAAAAAATGGGAAAATAAATAAATGAAACAAAATACTCACAAACAAGCAATATTGACGCCTACGTCTCTTGCTGGCAATCACGAGAATAATTTTTAATAAATATAATAATTGTTAATAACTTTTTGAGTGTTTTCCCAATATCCAAAGTGGTTTATWTCATCAGGAACGTACGAAAATATGTTGTTTATTGCTTTTATATTATAGCATTTTCGCATCCGTGCGTTTACCGGTGAAATAAACAATAACATTTGACCAATCAGAGAGCGCGTAAGGTGTACCAACGGCTTGCTGGGGAAAAATACCTGCTACCTTATGCCACCTATTCTTCTTGAACTAACACTTACTCTTCATAGGATTTTGGAAAAGAAATTTTAGCCGATGATAAAAGTGAATTGAAGTACGAAAAAATTCTAAAGATCCTTGAGGCAGCTAGCGGTGCCGCGTATGGGACTGGCAAGTAACAACACAGGGATCCCAACAAAACAGTCTGATTTGCACGTAATAGATAGAATAATGTAATAATAATGATAATGATAATAATAATAATAGTAATAATAATAATAATAATAATAATAATAATAATAATAATAATAATAATAATAATAATAATAATAATAATAATAATATGTACCCTTCGAAGGTTACATATATATAATTCTATAGCGCTTATTAAGCTTTCTCTAAGCGCTTTAAATAACGGTAAAAATTAATCTAAAAGTGCCGAGTATCTGTAACATTGGAATTTGCWCTGGACAAGTTTTGAAAAGTTAAACCAAATAAAGCTTTTTTCAATTGTGTGTTTTTTATAGCTCTGTTTTACTTAGTAATGTTGAAGTCTTAGTCTTGGTTTGTATGAAAAGAATTAAACCCTAAACATTGAATTGATGGTTTTCAACCATTCCCATGAAAGTGATTAAAACAAAAAGGTCCACCAGTCACGGTGGTGGTTTTCTTTTGTCAGGTCCACCAGCAATGTCGGACATCTTTTGTTTAACTGTCTCTCCTGGGAATGGTTGGAAACCATCAATAGAACGATCTCAGCTCAGAAAAACGTAATAAAAAAATCTAGGGTCCTGAAAAAGTTATCGATTGGTATTTTCAACTATAATTTGATTCACGCGCATCACATTCATTGTGACGTCATTTTTGATTAGAACACGATGATGACGTTATTGATATTTCATACGGAATTGTGACGTCACCACCCTACATCTGGCCTTGCAAAAAGCATATTAAAGCCAATAATATTGTTTTTTTCTGGGCCAAATTAGCTTTAAAATGCCACACAATGTGGATAGGGAAGGAGTTGAAAATGCATACGAAAATGTGCGTAATGACACCTCGAAGGAGACTTGGTGAGTATTTGCACGGAGCAGAATATTTCTTACTAACGTATTGCACGCGCAGAAATTTCATGAAATCATAAGTTAGCCAAGAGTCAAGAGGATCTCAGTCAAGTACTTCGCCGAAGTTAGTTTCGCTTTGAGCGCACTTGATTTAAATTCAATATGAAATGCCATATTTAAAATGTCAAAACTTTTACGTCATTTTACAGAAAGGTAATAAATATAACAACATTAATTAATAAAAAGAAGAAAGAGAGATAAAAAAGAGAACTGATAAACAAGCTGGTAGTGAGACTCGAACCCACTACTTTAGGGTTCAAATGCAACGCGTTAACAACACGCGCCATCGATCCACACTCATTTACATAATAATAGACCACTTGATACTTTCACCGAATAGACTACCCCAATTTGACATTATACTTTCGATAGTTGCCTAGTTAGTGCAAGGGGTTATCCATCAGTGTCTAGGGGCCGGATAGCTTCTCCCTCACTGGCTTTTTAGTTAGCGCGAAGTTAGGACCAATTATCGGGATAGCATGGAAGAGCCGAAATCTCTAACCGTAATGTAAGTCGATTCGACGCCTCAGCTTCACAGAATGTCTCGGGGGAATCGTCCCAATATTTTTCGATTTCTTTGTCAAGGGTTCAAGTCCCAGAACGTTCGATGGTTCTATTTCAGTATCATTATTTAACGTTTTTTTTTATTTACTTTTTCTTTTTTAGGGCATTGTTTGGCTACAGTGACAATGAACAAATAGTTCACCTCAAATCTGGTGTAGACTACTGTGACTTTTTAGGTGCATTTGCTGGTAAGCTCTTACTGTAGTGTAAAATATTCAGTCATAAAACAACATTCATTGTGTTATTTAATTTCATCACTTTATCGGTGGTTTTTATTTCTCGATTTCTTTGTCGAGTTAGGCTAAGAGGTACTCAAATGTTCGCAAAAGAGCACAGACTATCGATGTTATTAAACTATTTCCGTTGCAATCGAGATCGTCTCATCTCAGTAGCTAATATATCTCTCTACAGATGATCAACGGCTGTACGGATTTGCACGGATTGAGACTGGTGACGAGATGAGTAAGCGGGCAAAGTTTGTGTTCATAACATGGATTGGCGATAACGTATCTCCGCTCAAAAAGGCTAAAGTTAGCACGGACAAGGGAAATGTCAAACACTACATAATGGCAAGTCTACTTACTTTAACACACATGAATTTAAAATCAGCAAAAAACATTCAGGSAATACCGAGCATTTAGGGGTGGGGTTAATACGTGGGACTCCTTTGCCCCAACGACCTGCCACATTTAGATTCTTATCAGCTAATACTAACTCTTTCTCCATAGAATTTTGCAATAGAAGTTTTAACTAGTGACGTGAATGATCTAAAGTATGAAACACTTCAAAGCCAAGTAGATAAGGTCGGTGGTGCTCACTATGGAACTGGCAAGTAACTACACAGGGATTCCACATACATTTTYTGGCATTATCATCAAAACATTTGCGGGGAACAATGCAATGAGTCAGTGSTTAGGATGCCTGAGAACGGATGCCTGAGAACGATTGTCTGGATTCGTTAACTATCAGTGCACCGAAGTTTACATTTGCGGCCAGCATGGACCGATTTTGCATACAGAAAAATCTTTGCTAACTTAATTTGATCAAGCTTGCTTCAGCTAAATAAAGCTTCCATCGCATTCTTCTTTATATGGTCTTTTGAAATGCGCCATAATGTTTACCCGTAATGGCCGTGTTTTGAACATGCAATACCAGAATCCCTTGCGCTGGTTCTTACGTTCTATTAATCAACATTCACATCGCCGTCTCAAATCACGATTACTCTAGATTCAGCTACCTTATCGTATAATTATGAAAGGAATTCTTTAAACAAACCTCATGCATAACAGCAACAGACAGAAAGCATTGCATAACTAATCTTTCTTGGTTTGACAAGAAAGAAGTCGACGTCCTAAAATATTTTGACGCTGAATTCCACGTGAAACGTTTGTTTCTCATTATTATCTTATTTGCATTGAATTCTGTGAGATTCAGCGTTTAAAAGACGCTAAGAAAACAAATCACACTTTTAATTTGAAAAATATTTCTATTCAATGAAAAAATATAACGAATTTTAACATAAATTTAACGTATATCACTCTAAGAGATTCAGAATATATTAGGCGAAGTCWAGTGTCAGATCTTGAACTTCAAAATCTGTATCGGAGCTAGACGATTCGCTTGTCTTATCCATTTCTGGCACAATGCATTTAGTCTTGTTATCTGTTTTCAGYGACTTTGGAGGAAGGTAAACAAACGGCTTCTTGTTGTCTTTTTCTTCTTCTTCCGATGACGACCACACCTCCCAACGGTCAAAGTCGATGGTGAGATAAGGGAGCTATAGARAGGATACGATCAWTACTATGAGAACAACTTTATCATCATTGATAAAAAAGACGCAGTGGTTACCTTCTCTTTGAGGTGTATCAACCTYGGCCATGCTACGTTTGTCGTTTTCTTTAAAACAATCATTACTTCATCTCCTTTTACATCGACCTGTTTTTCCTAAAAGAGTCACAAAAATGTGTCAGTCGAGAAAAATAAATGAACGAGACATGAATAGTGATGAAATAATAAACGAATGAATGAAAATGAATGACGAATTGGTTGACTAAATGTGTATTTGTACCTCAGTATTGACTTCATCGTAAAGCTCCAGGTCCAAATGGTATTTTTTCCCGTGAAGCTTTGTACTAAATTAAAAGAAACAATTCTTGGTTGAGGTTGAGTATGATATGAAGAATTATTGGT